TCTTACAAGAATAATAATGCAACGGTGTTAAATGTTAAATTGTGAAATTTATATTTCATTCATTGACAAAAATATTAACCAATATTACTTATTATTGTAATTATAATAAAAAATATATAAACAAATGAAATCCATACAATTTTTTTATATTAAAGAAAAACAAAATCTTATATAATATGCATATTGATATTACATCATTATTTATATTAAAAAATATTATTATTATAAAGTAATTGTAAAATATTTGACTCATCAGAAACATATATTACACTCTTAATAAGTACGAATTGCCAATATAATTAATGCATATTATTTTTGATTTGCAAAAAATATTTAGTTCACTGAATTTTTTCACGTATACGCTGGATTTATAAGCAAAAAACATCACTAAGAAAAAATTATATAATTTTAGATATCTGAAACAAATTAATAAAAAAAAGAGGTTTCATTGTAAATCAGCTCTCTTCGATGAAGCCTCGTTATGCAATACCTGAAAAATTGATTTTACACTGTATAACTCTGTGAAAAAGAAATGTTTTTTTTTTAATCTTACTGTACCGTATATTTATTTATTTACCTGGTAACATTTTTTGGCTATTTTTTCATTTTTTTCTATCTACAATTTAAAATAATACAATCAATGTAAAATTGAAGTGCTTTACTAAATACTTACACATACAAAAATAACTAGAGAAACAATTACAAAACATAATAGCGAAGCACTATAACTTAGCGCTTAATGACAAAAAGCAAATTTGCAGAGGCGTCATTTACATTTTAAAAGTTATACAACAACGCTTTGATTTATACTTTGATATCATTATTTATTTTAAAATAGAAATTGTGGCGTGATTAATTTTTTTTATGTTCACAAATATAGTTTGAAATTTTTTTAATTCAAGGCGTTGAAGAATATTATGTTGTTTTTGCACTACAAATATACATTAAAAATCGTAAGAGGGATACAAAGTTGATTTAACATAGAAAATTATTGACACCATCACATAAAAACACTGACATAAAGATACAATATGTAGTAGCATTTTTAGTAGTTAAGTGAATGAGAAAAAACAGATAAATATCAAGGTGCCAATAATGCATTGCAAAAATTATTTATCTATACATACCCATGGCCACACCATCATCATTTGTTATTTACACGATAATTTTTCTAATATGAAGAACTACTGATTTTCTTAATGAGAAAAATCATATACAATTATGTCTCAATTTTGCATACCCAATGAATGTAGAGAAATGCAAAATAAATAATTTCAATGTTCATTTAAATGAATAAAAATTTTGAATAAAATCATCATATTTAATGTACAAACGTAGAATGTTTGTAGAAAATCGTCCTTTACAAAGTATATATATGATAAATAATTTATAATGAAAAAGTTTATATTTATTACAATTATTGAATTATATCTGAAATTATTTATCAACTGCTATAGACAGTGTAAAAATTGTTAATATAAATATCTACTTTTGTTGTAATTTGTTACAAACAAACATTTGTTTCAATATAGAAAAAAGTTAGAAATAAAAATGATTGCGTCATCATAATTATCATCGTTACGATTTTTGGTTAATATTAAACTAAAAAGCAAATTAAATATTTCTTATTTTGGGAATAAATAACAAACTTCTTTTCGCTGCAAGAGAACGAATATAATTAAAATATTTTGGGAGCAATTATTTTTAAATATGTAATTTAGTATATAATAATCATTAAAAAATGAAACTTTAGTACAACTTAAATATTTAAAAAATTTATGTAATAAAAAATATTAAATCTTATTTTATTAATAATTTTTTTTATCAATTGTAAGTTTCTTACAATATTATAAATAGCAAATATCCCATTTACTCTAAAAAAGTTTTTAAAACTAATTCAACTATGCATAGCAAAAAACAATTTTTAAAGAATTGAAATTTTACTAGTTCCATAATAGCGATTGCTGAAACACAGCTATATTAAGGCAAATAATTAGTACAATAACAGTGAAATTAATGCAAAAAAATATATAAAACAAAAAAAAAAAGATAAACATATTACAGTATCGTGAAAACGTTAAAAACGGTAGATAACAGCTTGCCTGAGGGGATTCCTATAGTGTGATCCAAGAGTCTCTGTGATGGTGTACAGGTGCTGTAACCCACAGAATAGAAACTTGACTTATAACTCGATCTTTGTCTTTCATTATCAGTGTCTTTTCTAATATACAAAGACGTATTTTAAACTTTTTAAGAGGATGCAATATATCAAAACAATTTCTACCCTATATTACATACCATATGTAATATTTTGTAATTTTAATGTTATATATTTTATTTAAAATATTTTATTCTAATGCATATATTACAAGAATATTACAAGAATCTTCTGATTATATTGTTGAACATTATTTATTTTACCATCGATGATCAAATGTGTATGTCTTTAGTGAAATTATGTAAGAGTCAAACAAATAAAGATATAGAAATAAAATAATCATTATTAAAAGTATGTAAAATTATTTTATTTATGTTTACATAAGAAAAATGCAATAAAAAGAATAAATTTAAGCAAAAAGAAAATTGTATTTAAAAAAGTAAAAATTCGCTCACGCCTTTAATATAGATATTAATTATGGTCTAATTTTCATGTAAATTTTATATTATTATTTCAAATATGCAAATCTATTCTAATAATAGATTTCTGCATAATTATACTTTAAAACTTTATTTCCGATTAAAAAAAAAATTTAAGTGGTCATAGTTCTGTATTATCTAATTAAATGTATAATATTATTAGATTAATTTCTTCTAAGAATAATCTTGATTATTCATACATCAGAACCAGTCAAACAAAATTCTAACTTTGACTTAGATACATATAGCAGTATAAATATATTTTTGTGCAATGTAAAAATATTTTAGAATCATATTTTTAACTTGAAATCTATTTTTTATTATATTGTATCTATATATAGAATATTTTTTCTATTTCATTCGAAGCTATAGGATATAAAAAATATCCTAAAAAAGGACGATAAATAATCAAAGAGCCTCAAAACATAAATTTATTAGCATAATTTATTGCAAAGCGTAAATATAATTTATTGATCTTATTGATCATCTAAAAATTGTATATCAGTTTTGAATTCTTATTTTTAATATATTGTGATTTGCTTTAATTGTTCATGATCAATTCTGATAACCAAGTATCGTATTAATGTATAACTAATTACAGATTTTCATATATAATTGAACTAGCTAATGGATAATTAATATATTTATTGTTTAAAGAATGTAAAGACACAGGATTTTGTAGTCTTTGAATACTGTTTCGTATTGGTGTTTTGCATTTTACACAACTCCAATTAAAACTTTTTGTTATTAGTCACATTAAAATTATTTCATTCATTTTTTTAATTTTAATATTTAATTAAAAAATCTTTATTTTATATTACAATTAGTATTGCGCGAATTTTTAAAGGATAGTTGTACACTAGTTTATTTAGAAATACAAAAATATAATTATAATAAAAACATAAGAGTTGAAAGAAAAAATCATTTTGTTTAAAAAGTATAACTTTAAAAGATTTTCATAAAAATAAATTTTCCATAAATTGCAATTATATGTATTTTCAATAAAAGACATTTTAAATGTAAAATATAATTATTTTTAATAAGAAAAGGCCCATAATAATCTGAATTTTGAAGACAATAAAAAGATTATAAGTGATTATAAAAGCATTTGTTTTGACAAGAATAATTATTATATTTTTAAAAAGATTTTTCTTCAAATTTTATTTCAGAATACAACATTTCAATCAAATGGGCAACTCTCTGAGCGATGGATACACTCGCTATAAACCTTTAATAAATACTTTTTATTTCTATGTTTCCATAGATATGTTTAAATCAACAGAATTTGTTATTTAAGCATTTTATCTTCTTGTTTATACATATTTTTAAATGATTTAGAATATTTTAAAATTACTATATCTTCTGATAATTAAATGAGAATAATCTAATTAATCACGATAAAAATATTAGAATATACAGTTCTATTGTAATAGTTTTAAGATAAATAATATCATCAGCCTGTAACGCGAAATAAAAAAACCTTACCATTTATAATACAAGTATATAGAATTTGTATTTTTATCAACTTATATATCGATTATTTCTATACAATTTCGTAATTTTTTTTAAAAAGTAAATTTATTATTATTTACTATATTATAATAAGGTATTATATAAAAATATAAATTAAAAATTTTTATTATTACCTCAATAAGTATATTTAAAATCCTTTCGCGCTTTTGATCAATGAAACATTTAAGAATAAGAATTATATTAAATGTATGAAAAAAAAATATGAAATTTAGATACTGATAAAATTTTCATTTTATAATTCTCATAGTAAAATGAAAAATTTAATAAATTGAACAGCTCTCTTGGATATAAAGAAAAACACCTAAGAAAGTTATTTGAAATTATTATCCAATAGAATAACTTATTCAATGTATATACATGCCCTACGTTTTTGTAATTAAAAAAGAGCATACTTATCCGTATCAGCAAGGCTTTATAAAAAAGGAAGCAGCATAATGAATATTGTTTTATAGCAGATATTTAAAAATAATAAGAAAGCCATTCATTTCATCTTTATCTCACCAGTACGTCTACATAACATTGTTTAGTAAAACAGCAACATGGAAAATATTGTGCAATAGCAGATAAGTGCGACAAATGATGTAATCCATCATTTATAATGTTTCTAGTCGCATACATAGCAAAATGACCGATGTTCATTAATTCGGTATAGAGTTCTGGTAACAAAGTTGGTTGTTGATATTCGAGGAAAAGCGAAATATAAACGGATGTTAAGGTCAGTGAATTGAACCGAGGGAAATTGGTCGGTAGTAGATCATCGTTTTCTTTTACGAATGAGGACGGAAAGATTAGGAGTAATGATTGTTTAGCTATGGATGATGGTTAATTACCCGAGCTTGAGAGCCTGGCCGCCAGCGCGGAGGCCCTCCTCACCCAGTAGAGTCACCTGCTCTTCCTCGCGGCTTGGATCCGCCATCTGCGACACGACACTTCCATGCTCAGCCTGCCAACAGACACACGTCACCTGTCCGCTTCTGCCCTGTCTCATTTTATTTCTTTCTTTCTTTTAAATCGCCGCGCAATCCTAGGGAACTTTTTTAGGTTTTAGGAGCGACGGGACGTACTACGTTATATGCTTGCGGCATTACTTAATTTCTTAAATTGCATCTCTATTTTCTCTAAATAGATCATATGTCTAATTATAATACTAGACATTCTTAATTATAATACCCGCTTATATGTATAGGTATATAATATAAAACACTTGCTCACGTATGGATATAAAAATAAACTTGATAAGCTTTAAAGTGCAGACGTTTTTTAAACTGTTTCATTTTTAATATCTTTTGACATGTAATATATAATATTTTAATATCTACTTTTATGGTCATTATATTTCTAAACCAATTCCTAACAATAAATTCTAAACAATATTACAAAATTAAATTTTTTATTTAAAATAAAACAATTTTACATAAAACAATTTTATAACAATATCTAGTGCATTTTTATCGTATTTAATTGTAAATTAAAAATATTTTTAAAATGTTCCTTATTTAATTAAAATGATGTGTAATATATTATAGATTAGTTTTCTCTATTGATTAATAATTATAATACAACGGAAAATATAACAATAAAATTAAAAAAAACAATAAACTACTGTTTTGAGTGTTTGTATCTTAAAAGCTAATTTGAATTCTTTGAAAAATTAAGTACAAATATTTTAAAAACTATTGAGTTATTAAAAATGTATAATAAATAAAATACGATTTTAAGAACAGCAATTATTCAAACATTTATATTCTAATATATATATATATATATATATATATATATATATTGCTTTTTACAGCCATCAAATGATCAACAAATCGAATAAAAATATAATAAAGATAGTAGAAATAAATAAAATTCCAATATTTAAAGTTTTACATGGAAAGAAATGTATTCACAAACAGAATGTATATTTTAAAAATAACTCGACTAATTTCATTTTCACTATATCATTTACATATTTTTATATTAAATTGCACTATAATTTTTTTTATTATGATTGACGTTTTATTAAATACGAAGTTTGCTTTTAGTTTTATAAGCTAATATTTCTGAAAAGATATTACTTTAGCATCCAATTTAAATACTTCTAGTCATTTTCAATCAATCATCCATCAAAATCATCCATTTTTTCGTTATTTTGATTACAAATATTCTATATTTTATATAAAAAATTTTATGCATATAAAAACTCCAAATTCTATCCAAAATTGAAATCTTTATAAATTGAATTTTAATGCAAAATATGCGTTACATATTTATATACATTATATACCTATTTATATAATAAGCATTTGCATAGTACGTACATTGGTTCTGATAGGTACATAGGAATCGATATAGATTACTGGATAAAAATGACAGATCAGGTATTTTTAATATATAAAAATATAAAAGCTCACACAACAAATACTTTTCTACTGTTACAACAAATACAGTTAAAGTGATATTTAAAATACTGTAGAATTTTTATTATTACAATAATTTAGGTATTATTAATAGATTTAATATAGAATATTAATGTTTGAAAATTTAAATAAAATTAAAATATATTTTAAACATTACTTTAAAAACATTGTATTTAACACATATTATTAACAGTAAACATTTCGTTAAAAAAGTTTTTTTAAGTCATAAAGAAGTGGGATTGATTAGTATGTTTAATAATTAAATAATATTTACAAGAAGCAAAACATAAAAAAAAAAAAATAATAAAAAAAAGGAATAAAGTAAATCAAATATAATATATAACAAAAATTGCTATTACAAAATTAATAATTAAATTCTTTAGATTAATTCAAATAATTATTTTAATAAACTTGTAAAAATTAATATTAATTAATATTATTATCATAACCCAACTAAATATCCAAGAATCCAATTAGTTTCAAATAAGATATAAGCTTGCGTATATTAATCAACTATTATGTCTAACATTCATGCAATTCTGAAATATAAAAATGTGTAAGCCATTTAATTCTTCTAAATAATGTAATTACCTAATAATATTATGTAATAATCTATAAAATCAAGCAACTTTATATAATATCAACGTATATATGGTTTTAACTATATACAATGTTTATTGAAATATATAAAATAAAAAATGTGCATACAACTAAAAAATCAGTATGTCAAAGCATTCTAAAATAAATAATCAGCAAAGAAAAAAGCTACCCAGAAAATAGAAATTTAATTGTCCTTATTATAAAATAAAAGGATTTACATTATCAAAGCTTAAATAATTTAGTACATTTAAGCTTTATTATATTGATAAAAGGACTTTTATGTATTATCTCCATAAATACATATATAAATTACAATTAAAATAAAACTTTATAATAAAAAAAGATATTTTTACTTGTTATAATAAAATAACAAAGAAAATTAAATTTTGATTTTATATTTTTTTTAATTAAGCAAAAGATTTACAGAAGTTTGTAAGAATTTCAATTAGTCATCGTGAAAATACAACCATACTGGATTTAAGTATCTATTATTACATATTAAATTTGAGTGTATACAAATATGAAAAGAAATAGTACAAAAATGGCATACAAAAGTAAGTCAATGAATTGGAAATATAAAATGACAGGTTAAGTTGACCAATTATTACCTCTGTAATTGATTCACAAAATCATTAAATCATTAATTCTAAAAAAGAAATAGATCGCGACTGGAGACAGGGCAGATCTCTGTGAAATGTGTCAGTCACATATTTTGTGACTTTGTTAGTTGACAACACTAACTCATTAGAAATAACAAAAATCCTAAAATCACTGAACAATATCATTAGTGACATAGAATAAAAAAATTAACACACAGTACAAGTATCACTATTTTAAGTTTAAGCATCTTTATCCATCTACATATTAAATATAATACTAGTTATTTTCTATTTGAATTATATAGAGAATAAATGAAAGTTTTTTAATATCATAACAATATTTCTCATTACTCCACTACTATTTAGTTACTCGTTAATATTGAAGTGGAAAGAGTCCAAATTATTGTTCACATTATCATACATCAAAGCAATAACCAAAATAAAAATTTGGTTCTATTACCCATGTACTATAATTTTTGTTCTGCCTAAAAACTGTATTCATGTATTGATTAGCAGACAAATTGTTCATAAGCCATAAATTAATCAAATTTAGAATATTAATTGAATACTAAATATTGATAATTAGAAAATATTTTATAGTACTTTTTTAATAATATTTTTATAATAACGATATTGGAATAATAATATTGATCTTATTTTGCAAATATTTTATGAAAGCAAAACTTGCAAAAATCAGTTTACATAATAAATATTTATTTATTTTAATTCAGATATAAATTTTTCTTGCAAGATCTAAATTACTCTTAATCTATGATGTTCATATAATATAGCTATTGTTTGCAAGCACTTCTGATTCATAAGAAAAATTAGTTAAAAACATTTATTAATTTTTACTTTTAAGAATTGAAGTTATCTAGAAAATTTTAATCAGCCAACATTTTCCTTGTTAGCATCATAATCTACTAGCTATATCTTACATTAAAATGGCATTAATGACTTTAAATTTTATTGTTAAATATCCAATCAATCTCACTTATAAATTAGAAAAAAATGTAATAAAATAGAAAAATATATGAATTCAGAATTTTTCAATAAAAATATATGAGTCAATAAGTTTCATTTATCATCTTTTAACATGATAAATTGAATATCTATTTGAATATATTCTGAGTTTCATAAATTTTCGATTTTAAATATCAATGTAGAATATTTGATCAATAAAATTAATAAAATTAGTAAAATTAAAAAAAAAAATTAGGTTAATACCTCATCAAAAAAGACTTGAGTCTTTCGAAGAATGTGCTTAAGCTCAGTGAGCTCTAGAAAGTTTCTCTTTAAAGCTTCTGCATTTTGATTGACTTCACGCAATTCATTTTCTAGTTTCTCAAAAGTTGCTTCAAGATCAATCATTTCTCTAGGTTGCGGAGCTTCCGGATTTTCACCAGTATCCAACATAGGAATACCATCCTTTTTTATTTCTTTTTCTAAATATCTTAACTTCCGTTCCATCTCATCACAGCGACGTACTTCGTTAACAAATTTTCGTTGAAACGCATTTACATCAGGATTTAACTGTAAATAGCGATAAGAAATATTTTTATTAATAAAATATTAATCTTATACAAATTAACTGAAATAGATCTAAAATTAAGAATTATAGCAATAATATTCTCAATAATTATGAATAAAATATCTTATTTGAAAATATTTTACGCTTTGATTTATAAATTATTATAATAAAAGCTACAATAAAGCTACAAAATAAATAAATAATGAACAATGTAGAGTACATAACAAATGCATAATAAATACTTCAAGATTAAATATAAAAACTACATTAATATTGAACCAAATTATAAAAATAGATAATTAAATTTTTGATTAAAATAATTAAATTTAAGAAAAAAAAATATTTTCCAATCTAAAATTTTATTATAAAAAAATTGGTAAAATATGTAGGATTCTCTAAAATTGTCAGTGTAATCTAAAAAATGAATAATCTTTTTAAACTAGTTTGATCATACTCACATCTCTGAATTGCACAAGTCCAAGTTCCCCTAGTTCTGAAACACAAGCATAAGCAGCCTCACTCTGTAAGAAAAGCTGACAAAGAGTCATTTCTTCGCTTCTAAATAATGAACCCATTTTTGGCCTTGTTTAAACCTGAAAAATGACTCCAAAAACATCTAATTATAGACTCTGTTAGACTCAATCCTTTATTAGAAGTACCTCATATTTTATAACTTTAGTATTAATAGCATTTGCTTCTTCAAAAAAGTTACAAAAATTTATCTCAAAGAGAAATACATCTTCTTACCTCACTTCTGCAATAATATGTATGTGGACGGTAGACGAAGTCAGCGCGCTCGATAATAGACAACATAAAATGTTGCTTATGGTAGACTGTAGAATATGAATCAATAGGCGGTCACAGCTCAGTCACGAGGTATCAATTGCCATCGACTTCAAAAAGAAATACTGAAGGTAGACCTTTAATGTTTTTTACTTTGTGTTCGGTTAATAACAAGGATTTCTTTGTTATCGATATTATTTATTTCATTTTATTATTAAAATTACTAACTAATTTTTAATAATATTATAATAAATAAGTGTAAGCAGAAGTGTTTTTTTTTTAATTATGTTTTTTATTGTACAAACATATGTTTAACACATTATTTAAAAAGATAGTAATTATTTTTAGGGCGTGTGAAGCGATTCAAGAATTTTACTTCGTACGGTAGTCTACATTCTATATTTACAAGACAAACGATGTCATATGATATAAAAATCGAAATTTGGATTAAAGAGATTGTATGTACGAAAAAGTCGATGATTTTCATGTAATACATTATCCGAAAATAAAATGTTTAGTCAAATTTGTTGGATTTTTGTCAGTTTCATAATTTATGGTAATTTTTAATTAAAATATAATTTAAAATTGTATATATAATTTTAATAAAGTATTTTGTAAGTTGATAGTAAAGATACCAATTTATAAAATAAACATGTTCTTCTTAATTTTTATAATATTTGCAAAATATAAAATTTTATTCTATTTCTTTTAGTTCAAGCAAGCGGTGAGTTTGTATTATTACACACACCAGATAGTGTAATTTTTAAAGGTAATAAAGAAATAGATCAAAGTCTTTTAAAGGAAGTATTTTCTGCTTCACTTGGATTCACAGTAAAGCAGGTACAAAATTATATTTATTTTTAATATCAGATAAAAGCATTATTCTAATATTACATAAATTTATACACATACACACACCTATATATATAATTAATTAATATGATATTTAATTTATTAATATAATTTTTTCTTTTTATAGAGAGCAACATGGACTGGCATGTCCATTACTAATCCATTTAATTTACCTGAAGCAATAGTTGCCATTGCTGTAGAAGGTATTGAATCTTTAGGATTAATTAAAGGTAAAAAGTTTCCTTTACACGTTGATGAAGTTGAAGAAACTACTTGGCAGGCTTTAAGTGGTCGACTTGAAGAACGAGACAATGATAATACTCTTGTTAGAATTTATCTTGGTGATGGTCTAGATGCTGTAAGTATTTAAATATAATTATTGTTTTAAAATTGTTTGTTGTGATTAAATAAAACCTTATTTATTTTACTTCAATCTTTACTTTTTATACCAGTTAGGTCATTCAGCTCTAGGTGAACTCAAACCAACTACAATTGATGAATCTTCTTTAAAAGCTCTTAGTCTAAAAAAAGATGAAGATCGCAAATTCTTAGAAGAAGTACAATTGCTTCATGCTATAGCGAAGAAAGTTACGTCAGCTATTAGAACAGATAATAAACCAGATGTTTATTGGTTAGTTGTTTCTGGTTTACACCCAGTATTTGATACTCATGGAAAAAATTCTGTTGCTGCTAAAGAAGCTCTAATTCTATTAAATGAAGCACTTCGTGATGTTAGCAAAGCTTTTATAGATGTGTACAAAAGCCAGGTCTGTTTTATAAAATAATTTAAACAGAAAGTTTTATAAATATAATATAAATAAAAATTCAGTTTTTCACATAATATTAATTTTAATTATGTATAAATATTTTGTTTAGTTTTTTAAATCATCTTGTATATTAATTATTTTTTAGGTTTTAATCGCTGCCTTTACTAATGATGCTAGTCAAGTTCGTCACACTCGTTCAATTAATTTGAGAGAACAAAGAGATGCAGCAGATGATAAAACAAATAAACTGGTTAGTATTTAATAGTATTTAAATTAAATTAATGATATTCTACTTTGTAAAGTAATAATTAAAAATGATGATTCAGATGCAATTTAATTAAAAACAAAATGATGTTAATAAAATAAACATCAATTTACGATAAGTAATTATACTTTATATATCGGATTTAAAATTTAAATTGTACCTTACCAGTAAAAGTCATGCATTGTGGAAAAAAATTTGGTTTAGAGGTTTCAGCTCTGGAAGGATTTAGTAATTCAGTTAGCAAGTTGGATCCATCGTTCTCTTCAACTCATTTTATTTCTCATGTCTGAAAACATTTCTAAACTTATTCTTTATTAACAGCAAATAGCAAAATGACTTGTTACTTTTATACAACATTGAGCAATAAATATATTTAATAATAATATTTTACATTCGAATTTTATAAACTTCAGATGTTGAAAACATTTTATTCCATAACACATTACAAGTATAAATATTATTCTGTATAACTTATACATCAAAAAATTTAATTTGATAGGAAACAACTACGATTAAAATAGAGAGTAGTTCAAGCTCTCCGAATGGAGTGCTCGATGAAGAATACATGGCAAAAATAATTGAGGTATTAAGTTGTAATAGTTGCTAGAAGCATTGTTGTTTATTTCCAGTTAATTCAATATATATTGAGAAATTACAGTATTAGTTGTCAAATTTTTCATAATTAAAAAAAAAAAATTCTAAATAATTAATAAGTTGATAAAAATATTCAAAAAAATGAATACTAAAATTATGTATGTTTTATCAACCATAATTATTATATAAAGATTATGAAAAAATGGCGACTGTAATTAGTACATTTTAGTTGATTTTAAAATATCTTGGTTTATGCATGATAACTATTTAGCTTGAAATACATTTTTATAAGATAATAAAATTTAAAAATTTTGAGTAATGAAAATTGCACGGTCTGATTACTAATTTCTTTTATTTTATCTTATATAAAGAAATCGGCATGATACCTTTTAGATAAATTTATGAAGCTGTTAGAAAAAATTTAATTTTTAACATTTTTCACGAAACAGAAAAATGATAAAGAACATGAAAAAATTCAAGAAAAATATATAGAAGATGAAATCAAGGATAAAATATCTGACATCTCAGATAAGGTTAACGAAAGTACACATGAACCTGATCTCAAAGAATATTTTGATGATTTCACATATTATTATAAGAAATCTTTAGAGGTAAATTAAAAATGATCTGTGTTATATTTGAAGCAAAAATGGCTTTGAGTTCATCTTATAGTATTATTTTATATAAACTTTTTATATACAAAAGAAATTTATATTTATAAAAATTATATAATATACTTTACATTAATATAGTCATAACAAATAAATGAGAAAATATTCATTAAGTACATTTTTATGATAACGTAACAACGTTAATTTTTTAATTAATTTTTTTTTAATACTTATTTTTATTTACTATAATATTATTATAAGTATATTTGAATGGTAATTTGATATCATGTTTTTATTGTAAACAATATAATTGTTTGATTTTCTTGTTTGTTTCATAGCTGAAAGATTTGAATATAGCCAATGTTTATTCTGAAGATTATCCAGTTATTTTCAACATAATACTCTGGTTTGGTGTTGTATTTTTCTTTTCTCTCCTTGCAATTTGTTGTAAGTATATGTTTAATATTTTTACGTTACAATTTTACAATACATGTATAAGTATATAATTTCTTCTATATTTACAAAAATCTGAAGAAATATAATTGTATCCTTTTTAATTTTTAGTTACCATTGCTGAAATGGATCCAGGGCGTGATTCCATTATTTATAGAATGACATCCAACAGAATGAAAAAAGATAATTAAAGACTAAAAAATAAACTTAAGTAGTTTAATATGAATTTATTCATTTTTTTTGTCAAATTAAAAAATAATTCAAATGACTCAAACAAATAAATTTTTAGTTAAAATATAAATATTTTCAATAAAATTGTAGAAATTGATTGGATAAGCCAGTACAATAATCTTGAAAATTAATTGTAAATAAGACTATATTAAGAAAATTTATATACTCTAATAAGATCTGTAACAGAATATACAAAAATAATATAATAGATCTATATAGAAGACAAAAATATGTTCATTATGCAGATGTTTTCCACAATGGAAACTTATAAGTTTATTCTTTTAAATGTTCCCAATTGTACATTTTGACATAGTTTTAAATATAAATGTTATATATCTAAGAAAATTTAAAAATAACGTATTAGCAGTAATAATATTAGTAGTATTAATAACATTTAGTAATTACAATAATATAATTCTAATATTCCTTTATTACATTAATAATATTCTTTGATTACATCATAATATAAAATGAAACATACTTTTATTTGAATATGTATACATTATCATTTAGACACTGAATATATGAAATCATTAATAAAAATTTTGTCCTATACACAATATAAATAAATTTGTACTTAACTTTACATTTGGTTTGTGACTTTAAATAATAAGTATATATAAATTCTTAAAAATAATTATTAAATTATTGATTTACATTTTATAAATATATAAATTCATAGTTACAAGTTTATGAAATTAATATAAAATAAATAAAAATTTAATCTAAAATCTTTCAAACTTTTTCCAAATAAATTTATAAATACTTTACACATTTCATTTGTTAAGCAATTGTTTAACTTTAATAATTTTACTATTGAATATTCAGCGATTTATTTAATCTTTTCTGTCCAATAAATATTACTAATGTTATATTATGGTAAAAATTTAACGACAATAGATGTATTAATAATTGTTTAAGATAAAATGAAATAATAATTATATTTTTTTTACAATAAGTTTAATACATTTTGAAATTTAGGCTATTTACAATAAATGAAAAATATTTTAAATTATTAAATGTTATATTTAAATTAATTTAATTTAAATTAAATTAATAAAATAATTAAATTTAGAATTATGTTATGTTGATATTTTTATTTTATTAAATATCAAAAAACTTATTTCCAGCTTTTATTAATTAATGTTTTACGTACCAAAGTTATGATGAATGTAAATTATAACGCTTAGCTTATATTTTAATCTATATAATCTAAAAAAATTAATCTTTGAATTACAATAATTTATTAATAATATTTCAATTATTTCACAAAATGTATAAAATTTATATGTTAAATCTTGTAATAAAATGAATATCAAATTAAAAAATTAATTATGTGAATTTATTAATATCTATCACGTTACGTAATAAAATATTTATAAAATTTAATTCTTTTAAAATATGTTTCAAAAGTAAAATTAATTTGTTTGTTAAAAAAAATTTAACAAACATGAGTTAATAATGTCTTGATTTCTGATTACGAATTATTTTAATTATTTTTATTAAAAAATATTTTATATTAAGAACTTAGCGGAGACTACATTAAATTGAAGATAAAATTTAAATCAGTGATAACTTTTTTTTTAATTCGAAAACAATATAATAAATATGGATTTTTTATATATGTTAATATACGCATAATTATTTATTTTATATATAATTGCATAAAGTACAATAAACTCAGACTAGTTTTTTATTACTTAAATTACTGTAATATAAACAGATTTATAGATTTATAGATTATATTAGATTAAAGGTAAAACGTAAAATTATAATCAAAAATATAATAATAAATTACGCACAATATATTTAAGATCATGATTCCTTTAAAAGGGCAGTGTAACACTGCATTCGGTGATTGGTTAATGTCTCTATCTCTCTCTATCTCTCTCACACTGCCTATCTTTCTCAAGCAATCGCTTACACCCACCACTCTCTCCAGTTTCCAATGGTAAGGAAGAGATAAAATGATAGAGAAGAGTGAAGATAAAAAAGAGAAGAAAAAAAGAAATATGGGTATGACTGCCTGTATGCGTACACAAATTACATTCCACACCCAATTTATGCGTTTTAGTAAAGAATCGTGAAAGCATATCTATATTCATCGTGTAAGCGTACATTTTTCTTGGAAGAAGTAATTTCACGTCATTAATGAAAAGACCATTAGGATCAACTTTCTAAAATACGTGTTACGGTAAGCCACAAGAAGCTATATTTTTTTATATAACCGATATATATCCAGAAATTTGGCTGCCTTTTTGCAAGTGGACAGTTCCAAGAAATTTGAGAAAAAGAAAGGGTCAAGGCAACTTGCAAAATAACCAATTACTCTATCTTCGACATTTATCATTGGAGCGTGTTTATTTTGGTGCACATTTATTACTGTTATAAAACAGTACTTTTGGAACTTAATCATTCTACTCGCGTCAGTATGCCGGGGTAAGCATACACTGTAATTTTCTACATTTTGTGCTGATTCACATTTATCGTGCACTTACGTATGATTTGAGCCACTGCTTTAAATCATATTTATTGACAACCAATACTTCAACTAATGCTTGAGGCGAATGTTGCTTGGAACGTCGTTTAATGCTAGTTAATGAAGCTAAAATATCAAGTAATATTGGTATTCCTTATATGACAATATAGATAAGTTTCTGTCACTTCCTCCAATCACTTAACAATTGTTTATATAATATAGAATATGGTCAATGATTATAGATCTTTTATTAGTTTAAGTTAATTTTATTGTCTTTACAGATTATTATTAATTTATATAATTGACTAATGGACAATACTTAGGATAATATAACTGTATTTCTTATATTTATTATTAATTTTCTAGAAAAAGACTTGATTATGTGACTAATCTGAAAAGATATTTTAGAATTTATTATGACAATAAAGTAGGACTTTTATTATTATTAGAAAATTTACTTTATAGATTTATTTGAGTATATTCTCGTTCTTTATATCTTAATTTATATTACTATATTTTTATTTATTGTATACTATATAGCATATATAAATATTAATAGCAATTTGATTTATTTGTATATTAATGTGCATAAATATTTTTATAATGTATTCAATTTTTTATTAATAATAATTATACTGTTTTTCTTTTAAGGATAATAAAAAACATAAGTTTCAACATGTCATTAGACCATATGTTCTGCTCAAGATGTCGTGAAGGCTTTGAACCCAATGAAAAAATTGTTAACTCCAATGGGGAACTATGGCATCCTCAATGTTTCGTGTAAGTAAATGATATAAGCAGAAATATTTTATATAAATTTCAATTAATTCGAATAATTATTTTTTCTTATAGATGTGCTCAATGCTTTAGACCATTTCCAGAAGGAACCTTTTATGAATTTGAGGGGCGCAAGTACTGCGAACATGATTTTCATGTTCTGTTTGCTCCTTGTTGTGGAAAATGTGGTAAAAATATATTATTTACCATAATTTATGCATAAAATAAAATGAATAAAATTGAATTAAAACTTTAATTAATAAATGAAATGAAATAAAATAGGAGAGTTTGTCATTGGACGAGTCATTAAAGCCATGAATGCCAATTGGCATCCTGGATGTTTCCGTTGTGAAGAATGCAATGGTGAATTAGCAGATGCAGGATTTATCAAGTGCCAAGGTAGAGCATTGTGTCATGATTGTAATGCTAGAGTAAAAGCTGGAGCACTTGGCAAACACATTTGCTATCAATGCCAGTATGTATTAGATCTTTGTTACTATTACATGAGAAAATTTTTTAGTTCATTTATTTAATTTCATTTCCAAAGGAATTAATAACTAATTAGTATATACAATTTTTTCTTTTTTCTTTTGTTATAAAGATATTTTTATATATTTTATAAAATTTTATAATATACTGTATACAATATTTAGAAGTTATTACTACTTTATAAAGTTCTTTATCTATATTAGAATTAAAAATATGAATGTTTCAATTTTATTATTTTTCTAAATATATGTAATTACATAATTAATTTTATAAAATCATATTTATGGAATTGTACCACTTAAATTGCTTAATTATTTTTGTAATAAATAAATGATATAAATAGATAAAAATTATTCTCTATATTTTAATACTAATTAGTAGCAAAGATTGTTGTACTTTATGAATTATAAAATATTTAGCTGGTAAAAATTAATTGACAAAAATTGTACACATTTTTGAAATCATAAATGCATACAATAATAGCTAATAAAAGAAAAAATGGCAAAAATTTTTATAATCAACTAACAAGTTTTTTTTTGCAATAATGTAATTAGCTTAAATATAAAAATGAATTCTAGACTAAATAAAATATAACTGTATTTTTTAAATAATTAATTATAAATAACTTATTTTGAAAAGAAACCATATAAACATTCAAAATATAAAAATATCTATTTTAAGATAAAAAAAAATCTGTTTAATATGTAACCGGACATTTATGGTCAAGAAGAGTTTATAACATACAAAACGTAAAGATTATACTGTATACGCTTTTACTTTTACAATAAAATTTTTTGTGTTTTTTTTTATATTCATAAATAATTATAAATTATTTATATTTACAAGGTTACATACAATAAAAATATTTTATGAGAATCTACAAGAAGCATGATATACTTAGTTGTTTCTTTGAACAGTTTTTATCCATAATATGTTTAAGTACTAATTTTTTAATAATATATTTAAACTTTACATAGAGTGAATGAAAACTTGTTTATTTTATGTTCAGTATTTCCTTGCAACTTTATATAATCTTATATAAAAAATCGTGTGATTGATATACTATATCATGTTTTCCACCCGCGTTTTTTTTCTCAAATTTACTTTCATAAGCTCATTTTCATTGAATAGTCCCAATTCATATTCCCAAATTAATGCCTTTTGATTACAATTATATATTAATTATTTCCTTGTAGCATATATATCTGAAATTTTTTTACATTATATAGGAAATATAAAAAAAAAATAAAATTTAATTGTTTAATTAAAATGTATTATAAAAAAAGTAATGTATACGTTAAAGATAATTAAAGATTCCAAAAACGAAATTCTATAAAATCGATTTATAATTAATTTTATGTATATAATTTTTATATAATTTATAATATTTTCAGTGGTGTAATTGATGACAAGCCATTGAGATTTCGCGGTGAAGTTTACCATCCTTATCACTTTAATTGTACAGCTTGTGGAGTGGAGCTCAATTCCGATGCAAGGGAAGTTCGTTCAAGAGCTGGATATGCAGCTAATGAAATGGTATAAATTTTAAATAATTTTTTACAATTATTTATCAGGCAATATTTATCAGGAAATGGGCCTTTTGCTCGATGAATTTATTATACCTTAATTTAATGTCAGTATGTGTAAACCTTAGTTAAATGTCTCTTTTGTAATACTTCATTTACTCCAGCAATAAATATTTCATTTTATAGAATGAACTGTATTGCCTTCGATGCCACGATAAAATGGGTATTCCAATATGTGGAGCTTGTCGTCGACCTATTGAAGAAAGAGTCGTTACTGCTTTAGGAAAACACTGGCATGTTGAACATTTTGTTTGTGCTAAATGCGAGAAGCCATTTTTGGGACATCGCCATTATGAAAAGAAAGGCCTTGCATATTGCGAAACTCATTATCATCAATTATTTGGTAACCTCTGTTTCGTGTGCAATCAAGTTATTGCTGGTGATGGTAATTATTTATAAAATATTTTTTATTTTAATATTTTATTGTTACTGATACCACCGATAATGTAAAAATAATGATTTGGACAATTGGAAAAAAGGACTACAAATACAAAATCGATAAATGATAAGCAAAAAACTATTATATTTAGAAACAACAGATGCTCAACTCTTAATACGAAATCATTTAGTATAAAAATTAATCATATATTCTTTCATTCGATAGAAAAACGCGAAGCATAATGTATGATACGCGACATATGCAAAAGGCATACTAGCCAACTACAAATGGTAATGTTTAAATTCATATTTTCTGCCAAGTACTTGATAAAACAATCAAACTAAATATTTTAATATTGCTTAAATCTAAATGATCCTCGGCCTATTATTCAATATAATTTATTTTTATATATATTTGTGTACCCAAAACTGCATATAACAAATAAATAATTTTTAAATATTTGCAATATATTTTTGCAAAAAATCAAATTAAAGTTACCTCTAAATTGTATTTTTTTTTAAATTGTTTAATTCTAACTTCAGCATAAACAAAATATCTGTATTTATTAATATTATTTTGTATCTATTATACATATGTGCTTTCACCCACAATAGAAACATATTTTTTTTGCCGGAAACTAGATTTATTGCTATAATAAAAATAAAAAAATATAAAATATATAAAAAATTATTAACTTTCAGACTATGTTAAATAAAACAATTATGTTTTAATTGCTCAAAATATTTTTTTTTATTCTCAGATATTTAATATTTTTTTACAGCTTCGATTAGAAAATTTCTTTGATGATTTTTTTATTTTAGGTACTTTATATAATTAAATTTAAGTTCTACTAGAATAGTATTATTTTATATTATATATATCATTAAATCATTAAAAATTGATATATTTTTAATTTCTAACCAGAAATCAATTATATGAACCATGAAATGATATATGTAAGAATATTATAGTACGACCAATTTTTATGTATAGACTAACCAATTTTAATATTATTTTCCCATAAGTGCAACGATTAATTTAATTTTGGTTTAATGAAGCGCTGGTACTAAGACATAAGTATTAAGAAAATATCAATTTAGATTTCTTTTAATAATTTAAATAAATTTCAGTGTTCACAGCGTTAAATAAAGCCTGGTGTGTTCATCACTTTGCATGCGCTTTCTGTGACCAAAAGATGAATCAAAAAACGAAATTTTTTGAGTTTGATCTTCGACCAGCTTGCAAGAAATGTTATGACAAATTTCCAGCGGAATTGAAAAAACGATTGCGACGTATGCATGATTTGACGCCAAAAAGGATACCAGGATAAACAAGATCTTGTATTAATTTTAAAGATAGAATTAATAGTAAAAATAGTATTTGAGGATTTGCGTATCAATAATTATCAATTTTATAAATATATACTTTATTTTAATTACATAAACTTTTTTCAATATAATTTTCTTGTTAAAATTATAACTTATAATTATGATGTATGAGTGTTTAACATTAACTGTGAAATTAATAATTTTTCTAATCTATTTAAAGATAAATTGAAATTTATATTTATGTTTTCTGATAAAACTAAAACCTTTGTTAGCAGACATATAGACTTGCATATGTAACTGTATGTAATAATTTCATTAAATTAATAATTATATATTTTTAAATAAAAATGTATTGCCTTATAATTATTGTAAAAAAGGTAAGTTAAACAGTTCTTAGATATATTAGTTATACTAGTAATATAAATAATATATTGAAATAAATGCTACTTTTTTCTTTACATTTGTTATTTTTAGTAACTGCAGAAGAATAGTATAAATATGTACAAGTTAAATATTAATATATATAATAAAATTAAAATTTTATAGAACTACTTTATACAATTCATAGTAATACATATATAAATATTAATATTTTATAATCAAATTTAAACGAAAATGTATGTATCTATGAAACAATTTCGTTTATTAATTATAGCTTAATTTCATATTTATTAAATTAATTAATATTTAAAATTATACACTAACTTTATTTTTGAAAAATCCTAAATTTAAACAAATATAAAAACCTAAATAAATACAAATAACTATATATCTAATAAAAAAATTAATATTGAATAACACTATTTAGTTATATTTAATAAATATTTTAAAATGTTTTAAAAAAATGATTTAAATAAAATATTCCAAATTTTAATTAGAGTGGCATAAATATTTTATAAGTAAATACGTTTTTTTTTGTTATAAATATAAAGTTTAAAAAATAAATTATGTAAAAATGATTGTTTGCACTTAATATTTCCCGTATATTCTGATGTTTAACAAATAACTATTTAGTAAACACACATACATCGATATTTTGTTAAAATAAATCCGTTAAATTACAAATGTGTATGAACAATACAAAAATAGATTTGTAGAATATTTTACGCTAAATGTAATAAGAGTTAACAGTTAACGATACGCTTGACAATCAACTTGATAAAAATTGTTCAAACATTAGAAACATTATCAAAAATAAATATATCAATTTTCAATAATTATAATTTCTTAGTGTATAAATTTATCAATTGTTATCTATTTAAAAAACTTGATTATTTTAATTATTAATTAATAATATATCTATTAATACAAATATTTAATTATTTTAAATTGATTTTTTATTTATTAATAAGTAAAGAAATTTCTTAATGCTTATTAATAAATGAATTAACTTGTTTGTGAATATAATTTCAATACAAAAATATTGTTTATTTATAAATTAAATTGAATTTATAAAAAATTATATATAGTATGTGTACATATAAATAATCTTCAATTAAATTTAAATTGAAGCATTATAGTCCTAAATATTAATTATCTTTATTAATATAACTAAATATAAATATTATTAAATATAATGTTAACATTAGTTAATGACCACTACTTCTGAAATATAATTGATTAATATTAATATTTGTTAATTGAAGTTTTTAAAACTTTAGAAAAAATGAAAAATAAAAATATTAATTCATTAATTGACTTAAATTAAATTGACTTAAATTGACGTAAATAAAACTTTTAAAATATATTTCATTTAAAAAAATTTTCATTAATTAATTTGAAATTTATTCATGTAATTTATAAATTATACTAAACATATTTCTAATAAATATATATTTTTAAAGTAAAAAATTGTATGATGAATCCAATTACTTTTTTAAATATAATTATGGTATTTTTCATCACACCTGTTTAATATCACCACTGCAATGAGCACAGTGTGCTATGTTTTCATTAGTCGTTGACAGTCCAGATGATAAAAACATACGTCCACTTAAAGCAACTGCTGCCCCCATCACTGCGCTGCATGCTGCATCTTGTCTCCCTGGCAGCAATAAATTTGGGATCAGTAGCAACTATGGAACAAAAAGTAATTATAATTTCCTAACAAATAACAATTATAATTATTTTATCTTCACATATTAATCAACCATTATTATTTAACTACCTTTACCTTCCTTCATTTGTATTCTATGAATGATATCATTTAAAGAAAAAAGCTATTTTCATATCTCATATATATTAAAAACTATATTTTTAAAACATTTAACATAAAGCAACATGTTTTAAGATGTTTCTAGAATGTATCTTTGTTTTAATTTTAATGCAAGGCAATGTTATTAATTATGGTAATTTCATATGAAATTAAATTAAAATATAATGGTTAAAATACTTAATTCAATTTTGATTACTTCTTTTTTTTTATAAATATAATATATTTAAACGTGCAACTTACTATGAAGAAAATAAATATTATTAAAACTGTTTATTAAATTTATTTCCTTAGAACTATCAAAATTTTATTATTCCTATTAATAAACTATTGAGAAGATCTTAATTCTATAATTGAATTAAAAAATGAATTTAGTTTTCAAGTTATTTTTTGCTGTATTGTTGAATGTACGAGCTGCAAAGTTGTAATTTCTGATTCATTAGAATATCAAGTTAACCTATGAATCAAGAAAGCAAGGAGAAAATAAGTTGCCTGACTAGATTCTTTTATAATAAATTTGTTGCATTATCTTATACCATAGATCAGCATTAGTAGGTCTAATATGACAATTAATAAAAATTAATGATATAACAGTCTAATATACAACTAATAATAATAATAGTAACAACAACAATAATAATAATGAATAATCAAGTCATAGATTTAAAATTTAAATTGAAATAAAACTAATCGAATGAAATTAATTCTCTAAGTAATTGATCATTTTATTTTCTTAATTATTTTAATTTATTATTTTTTTCAAATCTTTGTTTTTTAGATATTGTAACATCAATATGCATTTTAAAATATTATCTTTTATTAATACTTGTGAGTTCTAAATGTAGGAGAATACACTAGAGCGATAAATTATCCTGTTGTACAGCACTAATGTAGCAAGTGTTCAACGTACAGCACTAATGGTTCTCTGACATTACCTTTTACTTAAAAATTATGAATATTCAATTTTAAATATACATATTGATTAATTAAGAAAATACTAGACGGTAATAAATATATTAAATATCAGACATTGTTGTTTTTTTCTTCAATGCAAATTAAAAAATTGAGTACCTGTTCTGCATTTTGTTCAGCCAGAGTTTTCATTTTAAGACCGGTTATATTAATTTCTTTATTAAGGTTGATTTTGCCCATTCCATTAAGTAAATGCACTTTTAGCAATTCAGTCAACTGACAACAACCTTCAGAAAGATCAACTATGTTTGTACTTGGAAGTTTATGTTGCCTAGCTGCTCCGACAGGATCAAAATTTTCTCTTAAAATACTTAAAATTCTGAAAGAATATTTTAGAATTATTATATATACTTAAAAATTTTTATATAAATTTATTTAAAAATAATGAAAACATTAGATCTTTTTCTATGGATGAATCAACTTGTACATTTGTTATACACTACTTAAAATATATTAAATATTTACTTTGCAGTGTAAAATTTATAATATATATTATACAATTATTTCATTTATTAACTACCTATATGTTTTTAAAGAATTATCTCTGACTTTACTACGTTCTTCTAAAAGTCTCTTTAGTGTTTCTTGTAGATCTGTACTTCGTTGACATAGTGCTGCTTTCCATTTAGCCAATTCCTCCACCATCAAACTAAAATATTTAAATATATTTTCAATTTTTAAAAATAAATAAATATTTAATTCTATTTTTAATTTATCAACTAATGGATTTACTACCTGCTAGCTAAAAATTTACTTCTCCAGACTTCACATTGCCCTGCCAACCATTCAGTTTGTTCTTGGTGTGTATTAAGATGTTGAGCTGAATTCAAAAGAGCTCTTGCTAATTGTAACTTATCTTCTGTTAGCAAATGAACTCTTGTTTCTAAATCTTCTCCTACTGCTGCAACTAATAGATTTTTTAATTCACCATTTACCTAAAAATAATAATAATTATATTCATTTTATTTAGAAATTAATTTTTTTAAAAATAAATATTTAAATACCTGAGCTTGAAATTTTAGTTGATTTTCTAATTGACTATTTTCTTCTTTCAATTTTTGAACTTCAGCTTCATATTTTTTTTTTAAATTTTCTATTTCACTTTCAACTACTATAGATTTCTTGTTACTTTCATATTCCTTATTTGTTTCTTGAGTTTTTAAATAAGATAACTGAGCTACCATAACATTAATATCTAAATTATTCTTTGATACTTTATTTTTTTTCTTTTCTAAAGGTATAATTGGATTAACTGCAGCTTTGTAAGGTTCGTAAGGAATAAATTTAGGTTCCTTTGATTTCAATGAATGAAGAATATGTCTTTTTTTTTTTATTTGAGTTATTGTCCTTGGTACTAAATTTATTATTTGCCCTATTGGAGTAACTGGACGGGTAGAATTCTGATATTTTAAATTTATTGGATGATAGATCAATGCTTCTCCTAATCTTGCTTTCATAATTTTATCATTAATTTCTGCTGTATCTTTTAGATTAATATTTTCCATTCCATCACCTTGAGTTCTTGTTGGACATGTCATTGTTTGAACATCTAGATGTTGTTAAATAAATTTATAGAAAAAAAATTATACGTAAATTAACCTAAATCTGTTAACAAACCTTGATCAGTTGAAACGTTTTGTATGCTGTTTTTTCTAGGGCACAAAGAGATAGCTTCTTCGCTTATCATTTTTACAGATTTATAATTACCAATAATAAAATTCAATTGTATAAATATGGTAATATAGAATTGAACTCTGGTATAGAATGAAAATTAAAATTTCTTCAAGTAGTTGAACTATTTTTCAAGTATTATTGTGAAATATTAATTCATAATGGAATATTTCTATTTTTTTTAACAGTAAAAAATACGAAATTCAATAAATTCATATGCTTCAGAAATTATAGCACACGTATAATAAATATAAATATATTAAAAATTTCTACTTCCATATTTTCCGACAACGGGAATAGCTCAAAATCATATGTGTCAATTCATCATTATTAACACGAGTTTCTAATTACAATGAACGCTTCTAAGTATTTTATATTAAATGTATATTGAAAAAATCATTCTTTTTTTCTATTAAGATGCCTAGCTACATTCGCATATCATTACTATATTATTTTCACTAATTCTATGAAACTGGTAGTTTTAATAGTTCTGGGAAACGCGCCTAATACAAATATTGGCTAATAAGGAATAAATTTTAGTAACAAATATGCTAATATTATGAAATTAAACAAATTGTGATAATAAACTATGTAATACAACTAAAATAATCTTATATAAAATATGTTTAATTCAATGCAAATTAATAAAACGTGATCATTGAAAATTGTGTATGTAGAAATAAGTAAAAAGAGTGTACTTATTATTCAAAGTTTTAAATTTAAGTTCGTTTTAAGTATATATAATGTTACTGATAGTAAATAACAGTATTACGTAACACTAAACGTTTTCTTCGGTATCTCTAATGGTACACAGCATTTCATTCATGATAAACACAGCGTCATTTAAAATTAAAAAATGACATACCTAGAAAAGAAGATAATTTACAACATTTTTAAATTACGTTTTTCAATTTTCATTTGTATCGTAATTATATAAGTAAAAATGTAAAAAAATGAAATCCTTGTTTTCAACATACAAAAATATGTATATTGAAAAAATTTGTGATAAATGTAAAAAAAACAATCTTACTCATAACTATACTTATTGCTATAAATTCTAATTAATTTAATTAAAAACAAAATATTTTCCATAATACCGTGTAATATAATAATAATTTGATATATTATTTTATTGAATGTTATTTTCTGTTTTACAATTTACAATTCACAAAATAATTAAAGAAATCACATATAATAATCCTTTAAAAAACAATGACAGTCAATATTAATTAATTTACATTTTTTGCAAAATGCATTATTTTGAATTTTTTAAAAATAGTATTAAATAATTTATTTTAAAAAATAATTACAAGTTTAATTTTATATTAACATATTGAAAAAACGGTTTTGTATATGTAGATAAAATATTCCATAAAGCACTATATTAAGGACAACTGTATACAACTTTCTTTATTCATCTGGAAAATTATATTGCTTAGTTGTGATTTACAAAATACCCATATTATCTACTTCACTGCGATATCTATAGTTTTTGCATTCAGGGTTGGTTACTCAAATTTAGCGCCGTTGTAAAACCAATGTTCCCATTGCCTAATGTAGTTCTGAATAATAAAACCAGAAATACTCTAGAGACACAGAAGATCACATCAACTATGCAATCTGCATATTCAAACAAATGTAGTAGAATATAATCACTTTATTATTATTATTATATTTATCAGACAAAAAATTTATTCAAAATTTACAAACAAAATAAAACATATTTTCAAAAAGTAATAGAATAAAATTTAGTATTTTTATTACACTGTTCATCGATATGATAGAATCGTGTTCCAAAAAACGTATGCTATTAGGTATAACCTTATTAGGGGGGTAAGGTACTTTTTTTAATATAAAATTTAAATATATTATTTATTTCTTTATTTAAACTTCCACTAAAATTTTCTTTAATTTTCGCTAGGTTAACAATTTTAGTTTTGATAATTGAAAGCCACTGGACTGATCATACTACAGGAAAAATATTTGTTGAAAATATCGAGGCTAATTCCACTTGCTTCTCTGGAGAAGACTTTAAAATAATCTCTGAATGTAATCCTTGTACTGCTTTTGAAATAGCTAGTCAAAGTATTGGAGTATGCACCAAAACAAGATATAAAGAAATTGTTGAATGTAAATCTGGAGAAAAAATTATAAGAAGGTATGTTTTTTTTTATTTTTGAAAAATAATTTTAGCATGCTTCTACTATAACTTATCGTATAATCATTTATATTTTATATTAAGAAATGAAAATATGATCCATAAATGAATGAACTTTATTTCTATAAATTATAATAAAAATATTTCTTTATTTTAATTATCTTGGCTTATACATTTATTAGGTTTAACAATCAACGATAGCAATTTTATTTTTTAATTCAAATTTTCGTTTTAATTTTATGGATATATATTTTTTTTATTATAGTTGCGATAGAGTTGCATGGTTGGAAGAAAGAACTTTTTGGAAATTTGAGAGCTTTGCATTTAGTGGAGCTATTATATCTTGTATTATTGTATTTTGGAGAGAAAATATTCTTAGACAACGAGTTATAAGAAAAGTAGCAAGACAATTGAGAGGCAGTGTTTGAATTGGTATTATAGAACTATGGCTAAGGTTCATTTGAAAGTTTTCACAGCAGATAGCTTATGTAGTGTTCCTATTGAAAGTCTCATAACACTTTTTACAATAAAGTATTGCAATTCTAGTGTGCAAATAGTATTTGTAAAAGATACTAAACCTGTGGGAGAAAATTCATTTATTATAGATATCTCTACATTTCAGTATGAATTTATTGAATATTTTCAAGTATCAAAAATTGCAAGATGTTGTGAATTTCCAAATTTAGAAGAAAATGATAACAGCTGTATTGCAGGACTGTGTGCTACTTTACGACAAATAATCCAAAATGTTCTTATTGAACAACCTCTGCATTATTGTAAAGAATTATTGGGTTTTAAAGAATCTTGCTTATTATCTTGTTCTGAAGGAAGCGTTTGGACTAGATTTTGTGAACTAGATATTATATCAACAGTAAGATCAATAATTGTAGAAAATCAAGACAGCAATTTGCCTATTGCTTTAGCTAGATTTGAATATCATATGTCCCAGCCTGTACGATTACATAATCTATGTAAATATACAATGTCTAAAAAATTTATTGATAATAAAATAAAGCAACATGAAAACACTGTTCCAGAACATATTTTTGCAGAAGGTTTAACTCTTACATTGGCAGACATCATTATTTTTGTATGTGTTCATATGATTTTCAATTTCATTAGTAAAAAACATGTTCATAATATTATTCCATTAACATTGAAATGGTATGAAAATATACTTACCAATCAAAATATTTTAAAAGTTTTAAACATTTTTTATATAAAAAGCTTAGATACCGAAAATTTTATATTTAACTATACGCTTCCTTGTATTGAAAATAAAAGTCTGTACAAAACTGATCCAAAAAGGTACAAACCTAGAAATCGCATTTATACTCGCCAAGAAGATATTGAATATGCATTAGGATTAATCAGGAAATCAGAAATGCAAATACAAATTGATGAATGTTTTGGGCAAGAAATAAATCTAGACTGGGAAAGTATTCCTTATGATGCTACACCAGAAGGTGGAGACCTACCTAGTACTCGTTCACAAAGAAAATTTCAACAACTTGAGAGTTTATGTAAACCTATTTTAAAACTTGCCAAAGAAGGTAATACTATTGTTGATTTTTGTTCAGGAGGTGGTCACTTAGGAATTCTTCTTGCTTATTTATTACCAAATTGCAATTTAATTTTATTAGAAAATAAAGCAAAATCTATGAAGAAAGCTAAAGAAAGAATTAAAAAATTATTATTAAGTAATATAACATTTTACCAGAGCAATTTAAATTATTTTAAAGGACCTTTTGATATTGGCACGTGTTTACATGCATGTGGAGTAGCTACTGATTTAGTACTTCAACAGTGTATTGAAAAAAATGCAATTTTTGTTTGTTGTCCATGTTGTTATGGTTCTTTGAAAGACTGTCATTCTATTGTTTATCCAAGAAGTCAAATATTTAAGGATATAATGGATCAACAAAGTTATTTAGTGTTAAGTCATGCAGCAGATCAAACACATGGTATTAATAATGCTAAAACAAAACAAGGATATGAATGTATGATGTTAATTGATACTGATAGGAAACTGCAGGCCGAAGAGTGCGGTTATTCAGTGCGTTTAAATAAACTTATACCTGAAAGTTGCTCTCCAAAAAACCATTTACTTATTGGTTACCCGAGACTAAAATAGGGCATAATTCATGTAAATAGTGTGCATCTGTGTATGTGTGTGTATGTGTATGGATTGATAAGATAAATTTTTAGATGCCTCCTTAGTACTATTATTTTTTACTACCTTTTTTAAAATTCATATTAAATAGTTATTGCATATTCAAAATCTTATTTATTAGAGAAAATTGAAGATTTTAATATATTTTTATAAAATAAAAAAATTATAATTCTAAGATGTGCATAGTAAATTAAAAATAATTGTATTAAATTATAATTATAATTATTATTATAATTAAATGATAAAGTATATCATTTATAAAATTAAGTATGTATATTATAAATTTTGGAATTAGTGAATTGGTATATTTGTTTAGAACTGATAACATGAATAAAAATTTAAATAAAGTATAAATAAATAATTAGATAAATAATATTTCATATTGTAATAAGAATGTTATACTGCAATTGACTGTTTAATATAGGAGAATTTATTTATAAACATGAAGTAATTCATTAACGCACGATATATTTACAATTAAGTCATACAAATCATACTAAATAATTCATCGATCAACGTCTTTGTTAAATCCTATTTCGTCAATTATGCGAAAAGGCTTATTTTCGCGAAAGACGATACTCGATATTAAGAGATCTTTTGCAAAATTACGAGCTAAACTAACATTGTCGTAAGCGCAACGTAATGCACAGATGATATCGGGATACATAGATATATTCGATACCACTATAAAATAGATGTAATACAGTAAATATTAATTGTGAACGATAAAAAGAGGATTATTGAAATAAGGATTGGGATATAAAAAAAGAAACAAAAATTGACGGATATTGAACAGGTGGAAGAATAGGGTCAGTTTGAAAGAACAAAAAACATTCGATATACCGTAGTAAAGTAATAAACATAGCAGAGTATGATAGATAATTTATCTAAAGTAACACTCGAGCTAATTCTTAAACTTTTATAAAGAAGACTTGTACGTATTCATAAGTTCGAACGCAAGACAACATAATGTCAACGATCTTTCTCTCTACTTCTATCTCTCAGCTTTTGTTTAGCCATATCACAAAATACCAAAAATTTCCTTGATGTTTTGCAGTGTTGTGTATTATTTTATTACTCGTCAGTAAAGAAGCTCGTTATTTTTTTCGTTTATTTTTATTTATTTCCACTAGGAACTCGTTCACTATGACCGAGCCCGTTCTTGTTTTTTGACTTTCTAAGAGCACAAATAAGCACAGAAAAATGGAATATCTTATCTCTTTATTTTGTTCTCTTAAACGAAAGATAATCAAATCATAAATTTATTTCCTAGATTTCAAATGAATATTTATAGCGCCGAACTCATCTTCTCTTCGCGCTGTTTTTCCAACCTTCAAACTTTGCATGTACATTAGCATACACATGTATGCACAATTCGACAAATAATTGAAAGTAGTTCTTATCCAACTATATCCATATATGCATCACTGAGACGCATTTCGTTTTCATATATTAATAAGCTTCAAGTCGGACAAAATGTTTTCACATATTTTTTTTTCATTTTTTTTTTTAACTTTTCAATAGTTTACGGGAAACTTAAGAGTGAAAATACAGATACGGAAAGTAGATACAGACTTAGATAGGAGATGGGAGATACGGGTTCACAGTGGTAAAGCGGAATTCGGGCACGGTCCGATTAAGAAGCTCAACAATCGATGAAAACCTATATTCATGTACAGAAAGGTATGGATGCAGAAAGCAGCACTGCTGGTTGTTTTGTTTGTGTTTCGCGTCCTTCTCGAATCGTCTTGATTGTCGCATTACTCAAGAAATGGATCACGACTCCCCGTTACCGCTGTCATCACCGTCTTCATAGTCACTTGCACTCAGAGGCTCGTCATCGTCATCGTCATCATCGAGCTCGTACTCGTCATCACAGAAATCTGTCATATCGAACTGCTGCTCGGCAGGCCTCGCTCGCGTTTTAATGCAATAGTCCTCCAAAGTTACCGGCACAACAATACCCTCCTTCTCTGCCTCCACCTTCGCTGCCTGGGCCTGCTTTCTATAATTTAAACACAGTATAAAGTATTAATTCGTTTTATTAATACTAATGAACAATGAGTAATTAATCATCTAAATTGGTAGATAATTTATTCACACGAAAAAATTACCGATAGTTTTAAATAACAAACCTCAATTTATATTTTAATTTATTTGTACTAATTATATGATGTTAACAATTATGAATGGATAAATGCAATAAAAATTAGATAATGTATCTCCAAATGTAAACAGTGTTTGATATTTTTTACACTTACACTAGTCTATTATTATTAAGAAAATTTTAATCTGACCATGTGTCTGCGATTCTACAGCAGTGAGCAAATAAAAGTTCCTCACTTTTAAACTTTCTCTATTTGGAGTTGTAATTCATAATACATATAAATTTAAAATAATAAATTCACATAATTGCTAACTAATACTCGAATGTTTTTGAATTACCTATTTGTTAAAGAAAAAGAAATTAACAAATACATTTATTTATATTACAAATCTCTTGTGCATTATCAGTATAATCCTCAATCATTTTTCAACTCTTCAAAATAAAGCGCGTAAAATTATTAAAAAATTTAACGAGTAAACATTGGCTTTTTGACACTATTATTCCCGATTCCTTAATCAAACAATGCACCATTAAGAGTCACCCGTAAAGCTTTTGTTAATTTTTACAAAGCATTTTATTAATCGAAACCAGTAAACAAATATTTATTCTTTTCTTTTTTTCCGATTTCTCTCACCTGATAATATTCTCATATTCCTTGTCTCGACCTTTGGAGTCACGCCAGCGCCTATACATCACAGATGCGTCCACATTGGCCGGACTATAAGTGTTAGGCTCGTTCAGAAGCGAAATCACCGACAGCAGAATCGTTCTACGTAGCAAAAAATTACATTAAAAAATGGTGAATGTCTCGTCTACACCGCCTTCACCTCTTCTAAACGTACTCTATTGCGTTTATAAGCATCTAGAAATTATATATTATGTTGATATCCAGAAGAAAAAAGTAAATTCTGGCAAGCGGCACATTATTTAAAATATCCGAATTTATTTCACGTCTATATAACTTATTATTATTTGCGAGTATACCAATATATGAAAATACACGATTATCGTTATGATGCATTAGTTTTTTTGTATTAATGAATTTAATATGCGGAATCTCAAATTCAATTATAAATTTACGGAGGTTAATAATGCATTTGGCAAACTACCACACGAATTGACGCTCATTTGCTTAAATGAAGGCTTAAGATATGGATAAAACCTTAGAGCCTTCTCCAACGTAACATTAAAAAAAAAACGTGATTGTAAATTCATCAATACCATATTATGATAATGTAAGCCATAATAATAAATTTTTAAATATTTACTTTCTTAATATTCAAAATTATTCGGCGATTGAAATAGAATTTAAAACTATGAAATTCAATAATGATTAGAGCCTAAATAATTTTTTAATTAAATTCCGGGACTTAAATATTTAAGGAACAGTGCTTACATTTAAGAAAATTACATAGTGCATTAATTTTCGTTCTTTCGTTCAAAGTGGCACCTGCTTTTCTGCTTTAAAAATGAATTTAAAATGGTATCCATTGTAACTTAAATGAGTAGGTTGTCGAGCTTACAATTTTAATTAAAATTAATTAAATCATTCATTTTTGTTTTGTTTTATTTTTGTTTCATTGACAATGACGAATAATAATAATAATAATACTGTTTTTAAATAGTAAATTTGAGCAAAGAAAAATGTAAATAAATAAAAAGCAGTTTATAGCAAAAAACAATGTGTAAAAGAATCCGATGGCCACTTTGTCAAATGAAAGAGTCATATCAACACACTTCGACAATGAAATAAGAAGGCAAGTTTATCTCACCTGACGTTCTGCGTTGGATTCCACCTCTCGCAGGGCAACTCGCCGCTTTGCGGATCGTCCACGGGCGGATGTAGAATGGATATGCAGAGATCTCCATTCTGTAGTAGACGTGAAAAGTAAAAAAAAAAAAAAAAACAAGAAAAAAAAGACAATGGTGAAATTGAAAGATAATAGATTGAAGCAAAGAATGAAATCGTGGATATCGAAAATAAACGACATCTTAAGGTATTCTAAGAGCAATTCTGAAACCCTGCTCCCTCTTTAATTTTCCTCTTTGTCGCTTTTTCCTTGACACAATGGCATCGAGCCAGATGGTTCAAGTTCGAATGCTTAACCACGTGAAACGGATTTCAATTATTCTGCCAACCGTAAATGTACATACAAACTAAGGAAATATACGGACCCAACAGTCAATAATAAAATATACTGTAGCTGATATCGACGCGTTTTACTCAGGTGTCGGTATTTTCGAAAACAATATTTAATTTCTGTTTTGAGTGTTTAGCACTAGAGTACTCTTCACCGGTAGACTCGATTTATAAAATAAGATGATCAGAATTTTGTTATTCAAATGCAAGTGTGCGATTAAGGAACCCGTTTATTTAAATTCTTAGACAATATAGAAGTCAATAAAACGATATTCAATTCGTAGCGCTGATAGTTGAAAAAAAAAGTTGCGCATTATAAAACTCAGTGTAATTCAATTAGTTTCTCATTCATCGACAATTTAATGTTTTTCTATCGCTTTAATGTAGAATTTATAAAAAAATTAGCAAATAATTACGATTTTATTACTTATTAACAAAGAAATCATTATTTCATATATTATTGCAATAAGATTACAATAAATTGTAAGATAAAGAATAACAAATTTCAATTGCTTTTATAAGAGTAATAGAATAGAATATTAAAATTTAAATTACATTAAATGAAGCTCTTTTAAACATATTTTTTTTCTCATATTGTGGTTATGGTAATAAGCTTTATTTGCTTGTAAAAAAATTCACAAATTAAAGTTAACGTAACATATACATAAATTTGAAAAGTTTATGAATTTGTATGAAGTTACAGAAAATCGAACTATTATTGAAACAAAGCAAAATATTGTAAAGAGATTTATCTTCTATCTTGAAAGACAGAGAAGTACATAAAGAAAGTCAATAGGAAAGATTATCGGATTAGAAACAAATTGACAAATTCTTTATATTTATGATTATTAACATTTATGTATACTACTTGTAACAAGTTGTAAAATGTGAAAATACATACATAAGAAGAGCTCATGATGTGAAACTTTCCGAACAGTACAAGGTAATGTGATAAAAAAAAAATGCAACCAGAGTATTTACTAGGCAGATTGAATGATAATTTGCGATTTGAGATCATCGCTGCGTATAAAGTAATACCGTATAAAATTATATGATCCAAACGAGCTTATGATTATTGACGCGAATTAGATTGATACGTAAGAATCTGTCGTTATGGGCGTATATGGCAATGCATATTTCGTCATTTCATTTTCCGCCTTCTTTGCTAAGTAAGTTTCCCCCCTCCCCGCTCAATGATAGCGAGTATTTGAGCCACACGTTCGCAGGTTTCATTGTTGATCCATCAGCTTATGCAGGCCGAATGAACGAATGAAGCAATCGACGTTATATATTCCTAGGTAAAGAAACATGAGTCGTTTCCAACGTTGCACGACCATTACTGTGCCACACATACCAGCGTTTTATTGAGAATCTCGATTCATCTACATACTATTTTCTCGCCGACAGCTGATGCTCTTTAACAGTATATTTATCTTGCATGGCAACAAAGAGATTCAGTTGGATTTGCACCGTAAGAAACTGAATGTGTTGACTAAGCAGCGATATCATTTCCTACCTAATATGGTGCATTATTTAACTATCGCACAACCTCTCAAAAAGAAGTTAAAACAAACACTAGCTACATCATGAAAAAAAAGAAGATTGCTGAGAATCCAAAACTAGATAAATTACAATAAAAAAATAATTTAATCTATAAAAAAGTATATGCATGTAGATATAGATATATAGATAGATGTTACCGAGAGGAAGAGGGAGGAAATAAGAGATAGAAATGAATAAAATGAAGACAACCTAATATCAATAGCTGTCATAAGCGTGCGTTCACTTACCTCATACACGTTTGGATGCCAGACTTTAGTCATAAAGCGTATGCTCGGTGGACTGTACGGATAGTCAGGCGGGAACTTCATGTGTGCCTACAAAAACATAAAATACGTATTAACGTGTAAATGCATGTGTAAATTTAATGGCAAAAAATAAGATTATAATTATGGAAATGGAATTCGCTCGCGAACAGGTATATTACTTTAATATCCTCTTAAACTAGTAGCGAGCTTATATCGTTAATTAATAATACCGTTTTAAGTACTGAAAAGATCCATGTTGTCAAGAATTGGAACAATGAAATATTCGTATGAAAACGTTCTTTCTTGTGAATCAGCGTAACGAGTTTAAAACAAATCTTACAAATCGATTTACCAAGTTTAATATCTTTAATTTCAAGTGAAATTATCAATAAAAACCGTATAAAAAAGCTAGCGGTTTCTCATTATTCTCATACAGAATAACTAAAGAAGTCCATTCGTATTGTGTAATATTTTATCTTTAAACGAGCTTCAACAATTACTTTAACGAAATAGGACGGGATTCAGATCGATCCTTATGTGCGCGAGAAACGCGCGCGACACGAGCTAATAATGACCCAAATATCCTAGTTTAGCAATGTACCCACCCTATATATCCTTCCTTCTCCCAATCTTCTATATTCTTCTCAGGTATACCTTTGGGGGTAACCTACTTTCCTCAATCTCGCGAATCACCACGGCAGCGTTGCATGCACACGTGACTTAACGTGCAGATGAAGTGACGAAATGGGGAAGTCTCTCTCCCTTTTCTATTCTATATGTTTCTACTCTATATGTTCATTGTAACCTCGATCCTAGTAACTTTAGCCATTAGAAGATGCAATGGTTGCAAATCGATCGCTCAAACTCAGCCAGGTATTTGCATATCCTAATAATAATTGACCGGACTTACAAGTTCGCGAAAGTTTATCGACGGATGGTAAACCAATACATGCCTAAGTTTTAGGGATTTGGAGGCACCAGGGCGCGCATTGGCTCTTCTCCTCGCAACACATAAATGCCTCATTTTCACATGTTAGAACGCTGCGTAATAAAACGGAGAGTGGTTTAGAAAGCGGATTGAGAAATAAAAAGGAAACGAGCAACCGAAGCCTATGCTGCCCGTTCGCCCTCCCTGAATTGCAATCTCTTACATATGAGCCAATGAGCGCCTTTCTGGACCTTTAAAAGCAGCGTGACTTGTGTCTCTTTAAAGATCTTCAAAAAGACTGAAGGAAACCGGGAGGGGAGAAAGCGAGACCTCATCTACGTTTTCGTGCACCAACAACCGACTCAGTTTTAATAATAAAGCATCGTCCAACAGCAATGGCACATAACTTTGTCGAGATGCGGAGGAGAAAGAGAAAGCGGAGAGGTCTTGGCCTCGGAATTGCGAGTAGCTCCGATGGTGGGGGTTCGGACCAGGAGAACGTTGGGAAATCGAATGGACGGGAGGGAATGGAACCGAGTCGGAGGGGTGAACAGAGGGAGAAGTCTACACTTCCGTTGTCAGAAGGTACAAAAAAGCTAACCTTAAAATAACCACCCTGGTAGAGCGTATCAGGTGGGCCAAATATCGCGACTTCCCACTCAAACATGTTGTCCTCGTTGACGAGCTTAACGCGGAAGCCCTCGACGGGTTCTTCCTGAAGACTTTTATATTCAAGAGCAAGCGCTCGGAGTGCGCTACTCGTTGGCTGCGACATTGTTGGTTTGCCAAGAGTTGTCTCGAATTGCTGCTGCTTGCTACTGCTACTCTTGCTTCTACTCTCTCTCTCTCTCTCTCTCTCTCTCTCTCTCTCTCACTCGTTCTTTTTCTCGCTGTTGCTGTCTCTCTCAATCTCACGCCACGACAAATACTCCGAAGTACGCGCGCGCGCAGGAGCTTATATTAAAGTGAACGTAAAAAGGACAAAAGGAAACGGAGCTAGCTGCACTCAATTATAGTTTTAATTGCATCAAGGCTGCATCAGCAGTGACATTTCCAGCGCACTTGGTTTGCTTTTGTTTGTCCTCCACTACAAGAAGACAGAGACGCATGTACGCGTTTACACGCACAGAAGCGTCGCTCGGCACACAGTACGCACACAATACGCACTACAGTACGCACCACAGTACGCACACAGAAGCGCACGCGCGCGCGCAGACAGGTAACTCCGGACTTAGTCCTCTGTTCTTGGGAACGAAACTCTGTCTGAGAACAGAACCCGTGTTCGTACAGCACCAATTCGACAAACGACAACGCTCCTTACTCTTGCACCACGACGCACAGCACTACCCGCCTTCGACGAAGTCGACTATTGGCGCAGCTCCTCTTTCTCTATTCTCCGTTCGTTTCTTCCACACACTCCGCAACACTCCACACTCACCCAGGTTCGTGCAACTTCGACTACGCTCGGCCCTCTTCCTCAATCGACTGCACGCTTCTTCTCTCCCACAACCGAACTTCGACATTCGGCCAGACTCGGCCACTACAAAAAAGCAATGGTGGGAGAAGAGGGAGAGAGTACATGAAACGGTCGAGGATCACCAAAGCCGATAAGAAAATCGTCGATCTAATCGCAAATTTCACGATTTAAAAACAAATGAGATTCAAATTTTATATTTACTCCGTTTGCCTATCTTCATTATCTTCCACTCACGTCTTATATACTTACATCTCGAAATGTCTATCGATTAGACAGTCTGCAGCCTATGATTACATCTTTTTTTTATATTATAATAAAAATTGAATTTATAAAATAATTTACTAAAATGCATGTTAATTTATAACTGTCATTGCTAAATATTAGGTGCATCTGTAATACAGCGAAATAAGTACGTTGTACGTGAATTATTGCACCTAGTTTTTTTTATCGTGAAATGGTACATTACTGTATGCATGTAGATGGTAGCACGTACGTTAACCACCATTAGTTGATAAAGAAGATCGCAGTAGAACACTGTTCAAAAATTAATTTTGTTCAATTTTTATGTAAAAAGCCTTTTGTAAAATAAAGAACAATTTACAAAAATAAAAAAATTGTTAGTTAGATAATAGATCATCAAAGACTTATGTAACGTGTAATTATGTATTTAAAGAATGTTCTGGGATTGTCAAATATGCAACTCATGATATATGCGGAAATAGTTCATAATGTATAATATTACGATCAGATGCCGATTGTGTATGTACATCTGCTTACAAAAAGCTATGTGTGTATGTTCCTGAGCGGTGGCTATTCGACCAAAGCTTGCGTCTTGTGACTCCTCAGTTTTCCAGCGTGTGAAAAAAATCCTCGTAAGATAGCGGAATCTTATTGTGACCGGAATTTGATTGTTCATCAAATAACATAGGTTTGCATTATTTTTACTTATTATTTTGTTATTCGATCGAGATTTTCATTTTGTTATTTCTTCTTATACAGTGTAACCTTGTAGGTTACCAAAAACTCGAATCGGTGCCTTTACTTAACGACGTCAATCATGGCAGAGCCTTATAATGCAGAAATCATGCGAGTTTTTGGATTCTGGACTGGAATTTTAACACTTAAGCTGTTGTCCATGTCTCTTCTTACAGCCAGAACAAGGTTTCGCAAGAAGGTACAACATTTATTACTTTTCAATGCAGTTTGATATACCTTCAATTTAATTATAATTTATATTCACACAGTAGTTTTTCTTACAACATATGAAAATGATTTCTAATGACATTTTTAATTAGTTTCACAATATGTGACAGATCAATGCATTTTTCGTTACTTTTGAAAAGACTAAACATTGTTATTATTGTGTTAAAGAATTTTATATTTCTAAAATCTTTGGATTCTTTTAAAAAGATTATTAATAGTTACATTATCTTTTTTTCTTTTTCTTTTTTATTATTATTCAATAATATAGTATTAAATACTTATCATTTTGTTTATTTAAACATACGTATTACCTAATTATATATTTATTATTTATTTCCATACAGGTTTTTGCCAATCATGATGATACACTTATTCTACAAAAAGCACGTGTAGCATATGATGATGAAGATGTTGAACGTGTCCGTAGATCACATCTCAATGATTTAGAAAATGTCCTTCCCTGGATAGTTGTTACATATGTCTATCTTGGAACTGGACCATCCAACTTAATTGCAGGCTCAATAATTAGAACCTTTGTTCTTGCAAGAGTGGGTCATACACTATCTTATGCTGTCTTCCCAAAACAACCTTATAGAGCTATAACTTTTTTTATTGGATTTAGTCTTACTGCCTATGAAGCATTAACAACAATTATCTACTACTTGTAATCAGAATTTAGAAACGTTTAAATACTTTATGACAAAATAGAAGTTTTGAGTATTGTGGGAAAAATTTTTTATATTTTTTTATAAATATTTGGTATGTAAATAAAACTATTAAATATGAATGCATATAATGAAAATAAGACTTATGGTGTAACATTCTTTTATTTGGATAAATTACTAAATGACTGAACGAAAAAATCAAATTGTTAATTATTCAATGTAATTGATATTTATCAATCATATATTTGCTTTAAAACATTTCAATTGGTTTTAATACCTCATATAGTAATTTAATTATTTGTAATGAATATGGCATTTATTGATTTATGAAAATTGATTGATAAATTTTTTATTCATAATATTTTAAATCAGAATACGAGTTTGTTTTAACGAACAGTAAACAATAACAAAAAAACAAAACAAAATATAATATGCTAGTAATAAATAAAGTATCAAGCTATTTTTAAAATAACTATTTAATAAAGCAAAAGATTAAGTTGAATTTCTGGTAAAAATAAATCTTATTAATTGAATACTTGTTTTCCTTGAAATAAGCTTGTCAAGAACTTCCATGGGGTAGCTTAATTTATAAATAATTTGTGAATAATTAAAGTATAATACGTTAATAAATTAACAATGGACATGCCTTCTTCAAATATTCAAACATACGAAAAATACGATCGGAAGGATTAGATAAAAAGCGATACAGCAGAGTGCGTTTATTAACAGGTAGCTATAGCAACGATAACGGACTTGTATGAGTCGGCGCATTCGGTAAATTTAGCGCGAACAAGACAAGACAAGTCGACGGATTATTACTTGATTTCCTATTCGCAGGTAAACGCGTTCGTGTCTCTGTGAAGCGAAAATTGGAGAACCGCGTGGATAGTATACTGCAGCCTCTGTGCAATGAAACAACAGATTTATGAAGCCAAAATAACAGCTCGTAACAAGCGACATATGCAGAGCATCGGTCGCTCCTCATCGGGCCACCAAGCCTAGATCGATTGAGGCGGTGTCCGTGAGTGAGTAAGTGTTACGCATCTACCTTCGTACGCACGCACACACACAAATTTATATACAACGATGAAGTCAACGAGACTCCTGTAGTCGCTCCTACAAATGCGCTCGCGTGCATTGTTGCCTGCTTATAGGAATGCAAGCACGTGAGCCGTGGATTGCATAAAAAGCGTTGATACGGCAATTAGACACACATTTCGCTTTTGCCACAATTATGTATAACATTGTTTTCTGCCTCCATTATAATTTGGAGGGAGTTGTACTGGAATTTAGATAACGCTTGATAGTGCCTATCAATCATATTTATTTAAAGCATCAAACGAGTTTTAGATATCATTTACCGTGCATAGAATTTCTTTAGTTTTTTTTTTTTTTTTTTTTTAAGACAATTTTCATTGATTAATAAAATGCTTAAAAATAATGTTAGAGAACTAATGAAGAACTTACCATGAAAGATTATGTAAGGTTCCTTCGAATGTGGATCATGCAGCTATATGAAGACTATACTTATTTATATAAATAATTACATTCGCGCTGGAAGCAAATATTTAAAATAAATATTCTTCAAAAAGATTTATTAGATCACAGTTTTCACATAAAAGTATTCTTAGAATGGAATATCATAGATTTTCTTTTGAATGAACTACTCAATATATTGCTGTACAAGAAAAACCTTTAAACTATTTCGTCGTTATTGAATTTACAAGCCTTGCATTAATTATTACATTTTTCGCTATTTATTTACTGCACAGCCTTAGAGTTAGAGCAATATAATTTAATTACTTTAAGTAGTTGACAGAACTATTGTGTTTGTATAAGTCAAGCTATATATTATAGGAATCTAATCATTGTTGTAAATCGTAATGTAAAGAATGAAAATGAAGTCAAAGGAAAATTTATAGGTTCTCGGCATAATTTACATCTTATCGGCACTGGAACACAAAGCGAAATTTAAGTTAAAAAAATATACGAGTATAAATAAATAACAGCTATAATCAAAATTTAATACGTATAATAAATAAAGCAAGGTTTGAAGGCAAAAGGCATCCTTGTGTGTGTCGTTCAACTCCTATCCTCCAAATGTTAGTATGCTGAAATCAATCTCACATTTGACTTTGGATCGCTCCCCCCGTAGAGGTGGCAAAAAAAAATTAAAATAAAGGGTAAACACGCGAGTCCTCGAATGTCGACCTCGCGGTTAGTGTCAGGGACACTTATGGTGAGCGAGTCATTACACTTTTGCGGTTGGTTGTTTTCGAAAATCTTGCGATAACCTTCGCTCTCTCCGAATAGAGAAATGAGGAATGCTGCCGCTACCACTACAAGATGTATTATAAATCACTGGTATATGTGTCCACGTTTTTTCTATTCAGAGAATATTTCGCATCGGGGAGTAATCGTTGCATTGCCTTAAGACATTGAAGTACAAGAGCTATGAATAGGAGTGTTCGTGGCGTAGACCCTCTCAAGGTTCTACTATAAATTTTTGTCATTGCACAATTAGGATGCGTTACTGAAATATCTCGAATAACAAATGATAGTTAAAAAATAGTTAAAAACAAAAAATTAAAAATTAAATTTTCATTTAAACGAATTGATCGTAATAAATGACTTTGATCATTAAAATACGGAAAACAATCCTTTAATTGAAATTTATTCCAGTTAAACAAATTTAATTATGGAATATAATTTTAATAGAATATTTTATTAGCGATCTTATGTTGAATACACTATTTATATTCGCATAATAAATCTTACACCATAATTAGCTTATCAAATTTACGCTTATATGAACCTTAAATTATCAACGAGGCTATGAACAAAAAATCCTCATCGATAGTGTATCATTCCATATGTTTCTCAAACATGCGAAAAGTCTCAGTCGTCTGAAAACTAGATTTTGTTTTATATTACAATTAAATTTATGTATTTACAAATTGCACTTCTATTTTGCATTAACAATGTATTTGGTAGTTAACGAATTTTATATGTTAATAATATTTTATGTTAATATTTGTTTGTTTTTTTTTAATTAATTGTTTCTTATTTTTGTTAGATAAATAAAAAAAAATATATATTGTCAACAGAGAACTAAAGAAATGAATTAAGAAACCATGGCTTCGTAACCGGGTTAATTTTAATTAGTATGCGTATTTTAAATGTCAAAATAAGGAAAACTAACATTTCTTATTAATTCGCTTCAGTTAAAATTCAAAAACAAAAGAAACCTGTATTATGCAGATAATGATACGGAAAACTACAAATTATAATTAGACATGACAATTACTAATATCACTTACAATATATGAATTGAACATTTTTTATGAGATTAATAAATACCGAAACAAATTGTAAGAATAATAATGATATAAAAATGTTCAACTGAGGTGTGTGTGTGTGTGTGTTGTATTATACATAAATAAAAATTTCTAAAACTACCATATAAAGGTTTAATAAATATAAACATAAGAATAATAATTGAAATAGCACGAAGATGCACAATATTTTTATTTATAGAATGTAATTGTAAAATAATTATTAGTATTTTTATTCGAATATTAAAATAAAGTCTTTCGGCGGTACGTTTTTGTTATTGTAATTAAACAAACACTTTCTGATCAATGAACAAAATATTAACAATGAAAAAAACAAATGTAGAATTGTATTTATCTTAAATTCGAAATTAATTAAAAACTGAAAACAAACATTGTACATAGATGCAATCATTACTTTTTACATACTTTAATATGATATTTAATTGAAAAATTAATTTTGTATACATAATAAAAATATAATATAAATAATTATTTTCCGGCTAAGATTAATATTGCGAATAACGATTACATACAAAAATACTCTCGTTTTAATATATTAGCCCCTGTCCCTGCTTATTGTGTACTTGTATATTATATATCAAACTGTATAAATGAGGCAGACGATGACATCAGAGGCTGCAACATGCAAAGGCTTCATCGTCCTCGACGTCACCATCGTCGTTCTCGTAGTGTTGCAGATTTTTATTTCCGAAAAACGTTGAGGGACACATGAGCCGTACACGACTCATGCCCAATTACGACTTATGTGCTTACACCATGTCAAGAACGACTTTTCTCTCTCTCTCTCTCTCTCTCTCTCTCTCTCTCTCTCTCTCTCTTTCTCTTTCTTTGCCTCTGACTGCGCAACTACATGCGCGCACCTAGTATATACACGGGAATACATTCGACCCATATATATTGAAACACCTCACACGCAGAAGTAACCCTATTAGCAATTAAAGTTGCCAATAAGAGTGCGACCATGTTTTCTTGGAAATTTCATGAATGACAAATTTGGTGTATCCCTTTCTATTTTTCGCGTACTAAATAAAAAATAGCCAGAAGGTGACAAAGTCTGTTCAAATGAGCAAGAGGGAGAGACAGAGAGAGAACACTAAAGAAATATCATTAAATTCGATCTTGTGTACTTATTTAATTTAAATTTAAAAATAAGTAAAAATTGTTGGGTTATTTTATTGCAAAAATTTATGAGACATATTTTTTCGAATAAATAAAGTTAAGTAGTGAAAGTACTATACAATAGTTCATACTCACAGTGTGAAATAAAATTTCTATAGAATGTAGCTATTTTAGACTAAAATTTTTTATCAATCCCAAAAAAAGGATTTCCAAATATTTTAAAATTACTGTTCTATGGTTAAGGTTTTTTTTTTATTATTAAATATTAAAAAATATCGGTGCTGTATATCTAATTGATATTTATTCAATTTTTTATAATATGCTTAAAATTTATAAAAATATTCTTGTTTTATAAAGGTATTACTAACAAGGACGACTTTCGGTTTTCCAAGTTTAATGAGACCCTGAGATATTTTTAGTATTTCAAGATAAAATCATTGGCTCACATTTTAATTACTTAGATCCTGATTTTGAGGATATAAAAGATTTCACGTAAATCCATTTCATTGTATAAAAAGTATATTCATAATAATTTGCAACTAAATTATCTATATAAAAACAAAAATAAAAAATATTTTGTTTATAGATGTATTCTAAGTTCAAATCATAATTAATTTTAAAATGAACCGTTTAGAATATTACTTTTTTTTATATACTTCTTTTTAATGCGTATAGAATAATATTTAATGTTTATACTTATAAATTTAATGTTTAGCTTTTTTAATAAGAGTATGTATTTAATTAAAAATGAAATTATTAATATTAATAATATTATTTATATTAATCATTAATACTAATAATACTCATAATTTAACTGAATAGTTTAATGAATATATACATTATAAAGTATCTTAGAATTATTAAAGATTTTCGAAAATACAAAGTCTCCATGTAAGATTAAATACATTTATTTCCGATTTTTATTTTTTATAAACGAATATGTATTTCGAAAACTCTAAAAATTAAATCTAATTTAGTTCATAAAAAACCCTATAATTCAATTATAGGCGTTGTCTTTCGTTTTCAATTATCATACGTTAAAATTGTATTAAATTCAGTAAACTGATAATTACAATAGTTTAAGGTGAAAATATTGATGTCTGCTAGATAATCAAAAAATTTTACGAATCCTAATCAGATCAATTTTTAATTAATTTAAAGATTCAATCTCGTTTCGAATATGTAAAAATCTGGCGATACTCAAGAAATGACGAATCAAAAAGAAAGCTAATTATTATAGGGATCCATTTATAATCATAATATAAATTAATAATATCTGACCATTTATTCTGAATAAATGAAAAGCACATATGGAAATAGATTGAAACAATACGAATTAAGTGATTGTTATTTAAATACACATTATTTAAATACATATTAAATGTTCGATTTAGTGCACGCCTGACTAATTTGTGACAGTCGTATAAGCGTGTTGTGAGATGCACATTAATCATTGGGCAGTCACGAAGTTCAATGAACTTGCTGTTTTATAGCCAAGTATCCAGGACAAATGTTGGGGACGTCGCTGAGGGACAGTAATAAGAGTTTGAACAAGATTCGCTATTCAGTGCACTTCCTGGCATCATCGGGAAAATCGTGGGCAGTCCCGAGTAAAAAGGCCGAAGTAAATGCGAGCTGAGAGCTCCGTATTTGGCTAAAGGCTCGTAACGTTGCGAGCAAGTGGGCGAACGAGACTCGGTGAATCGAGTCATCATATGCACGCATGTGGGCACTAACACATTCGAGCACCGCAGCCTCGAAAATCGTAGTTGATTCTAGTAGTTGCTCTCCTGTATTTCGTCCAGATTTCTCTCTCTCTCTCTCTCTTTCTCTTTTCTCTTTCTC